CAATGCGCGAACTTTAAATTAAATTTCGCGAATTGCGCAGTAATCAAGACAAGTAAGAAGATCAGTAAAAAGGCCGTTAATTAAGTAACCTTCCGCGTATTACTACACAAAGGTAAACGTATGTAAACAACGCCAGTAATGTTGGCCGGGTTAGACGCGAATAAGGCCGAACTCATATTTTTCTTCCGCAAACTTTTATTGTTATTTTGGAATTAATCAGGTAATTTCACACCAGGCTGGAAATTTTCATTACAATTGGTTTCCGGGGCTTAATCTGCAATTTTACTAAATGTTTCAGAATGCTGCCTGATAAGTAGAAAATGTTGGCAACCGGTATTGTAGAAGGACAATTCTGAATTAAAAAATCGGTTGTTCTTGAGGATGGGAGACTCATAGCGAAAAAATCTACTCATTATAGAAACGAGAGCAGCAACACAGCATAGTGTAGCTGTGGCTCTATATTCTACAGAGAAGTTTAATGCCATTGACAAGGAAGATGTCACTTCAGGTATTGGTGATCATGGCTTTCCACAAATTGCTTTATTATCTATGAATTATTATGACGTTGGAAAAATAATTCCTCGTTGTTTCGTCCATGATTTTGAATTCAGTGTTTTTCGTCTAGACTGGCATCCACCCAAGGCTAGAGAGCCCAGTCTACCCTGCTATTTAATCAAGAATATTTTTTACTAATGATCATACAGTACAAGGGTAAAGAGTGACTCAATGTACAGGGTTATTAAATGACTGAAACAGGAGGTGTTAGGAAGTGGAGATGATGAAGATAAGGAGGATACATAAAGATTGACCCTTGACTTGAAGAAAAGATTATAGCGTAGAGTGTTACTGTTATAGTGGTTATAAGGAATGTGTGTGATATGAATAAAAGACGGGGTGATAGGAGGTGTAGATTATAAGGATAAGGAGGATAGATAACGATTAAACCTTGATTTGTAGAAGTTAAGATTATAGCGTAGAGGATTACAGTTAAAATGGTTATAATGAATGAAGTGTGTGATATGAATGAAAGATGAGATGATAAGAAATGAAGATTATGAAGATAGGGAGGCTAGATAACGATTAACACTTGATTTGAAGAAGTTAAGATTAACAATTGACCTTTGACTTGAAGAGATTAAAATTATAGTCTTTGGGGAAACATCAATTCGTGAGTCTGCTCCACAACGTAGCGGTTTTGTGTGAATGGAACTTTTCCCTTACAAATGGAATACGGAGGAAATACGGGTGATTCAACTCTGTGGGCGTAACAAGTCGGATTTCATGTGTAAAGGACTGAACTGGTGGCGCTAAAGAATGGAGCTAAAGAATATTTGCTACGTGTGGTGTAATGGATATCGGCTCGGAATGAGAAATCGGAGAGCCGAGTTCGAATCCAAGTCAAGTTTCTTAGATTCACTTATGCACAAATACCCTTGGGAAAGACATGAATTCATCTCTTCTCCCCCATATATGGGTTGGATAACAGGGCAGACTGGATTCTTTAGCATTGTTTGGCAGACAGTCTACCGCAGAAAGAAATGGCAACCTAGTGCGGGAAAAAATCTGACTCGTCAGTCCTGTATCTAAAGGTACATGATGGTCCATGCGTGTATCACGTATGTCATTAACTAACTGAAGTAACGGAAGAGTAGCAATGGGGTTTACGTCAGTGGGCTGGAAAATAAGTCATCCACTCACAAGTCCTTGTGAATGACCTTGAAGGCTGGATAGTAAGGATTAGGCAGCAGCAGCTTGGATATGGCAGCAATACTCTACTTTTGGTCTGATATGACTTTTGTAAAGATAAAATATTGCAGAAGGCGTCAGGTACTTACTGAAGCTGTACAAAGGGCCGACCATTTTTCCGAATAGTTATTGACAGATTGTATTTATTTGTAATCTAATAGCTGACCGCTCGTATCCTATCTGCTAATCACTGTTCTAGACGCGTGTTCGGTATTTAACATTTCACCCACGGGAAACGAATATGGCACAAGGCCGGTTTTACTGTGGGTTTCTTCGAGCCCGTAGGCACGGCCAAAAAAATAGCCTTTTGAAGCCGATTAGACGGGTTCGGGCCCTGTCTACCTCCTCTAGACGCGTGTTCAGGTACATAAGCTCTTGTTTAACACCCACAGAGGCAACCTGTGGTTTGTACTGCAACTATGCTGAGCGGACCTTAGTTATATTTTTTTAGGAGAACGCGCATTATCTGGCGTGATTAACTGTCTGAACAAATTCAGTCCGCTTAAAACCTCGGTCACGATGACTTGCGACTTCGTGCTAGCTCAACCATCGACGGCTCCCAAATAGCTTCGTCTACCCTATTTCGCGCACAAGGCTTGGGTCAAACCAAGCCGTGGTATTGGTTTTCACGTACTTTCCAATAATGCTGCACGCTGGGATAGCCTCTACAGACCAATAGCACAGAAAGAAGCCACCTTTTTGACAAATTGACCACAGTGCGATTCGAAACTGAGTCTCATAGTCGCGAAGCGAACACTCTAACCACTCGGCCACATGTATTTTTTAAAAGAGAAATCGATTCATATCTTTTCCAATGACGTTATCGCGAAGGGAATGAAACAGACAAAACCGGAATTTGGACGCGAATCGCCATTACTATTTTCCGAGTGGATAGCAATTACGCTGTGTGCACGCTAATGCTTAACATATTTCTTCCTGCTAAGGCTTAATCAGATGGATGAAATTGTTGAATACTTTCCCACGAGCACTAGTGGGAGGTGTTCGTCTTCTAAGCAAAGCCATATTCTAAATGCTGATTCACAATCTTACTATCACTAATTCTTAGTAGCAAGGTATACTTAGGAAATAAAGATATATATATATATATATATATATATATATATATATATATATATATATATATATATATATGAAGAAATATAGTTTTAAGGTGTGCTGTATTTATGGGATAAGGCGGTCAATATCAGAGATAGACCGTATGTAAATATAAAAAGTGTACATTGAAGTCAACACTAGAAGCGACAGGCTGTTGTTTCATGCTGGACGCAATCGTCAAGCGTCCAGCATGAAAGAGCCTGTTGCCTCTGAGTGTTGATTTAATCACTTTAATATATATATATATATATATATATATATATATATATATATATATATATATATATATATATATATATATATATATATATATATATATATATATATATATATATGTGCTCTGTTTATAATAAACTTTTGATAATAAAATCGAACTTGTGCTCCCCTGTGGCTAAATCGGTAAAGCAAGTCAGGCTTTATATGACGGTTCCGTATAGGGTACAGGTTCGATTCCTGTCGGAGGACGAATATTTTTTATGAAAATTTCTCGGACATTCAGGCCGGTAAATGTTGTTTAATATTGTTTATTATAAACAGAGCATTTACCTAAATATTTGTATCTATAAAAAGAATGTATAAATATAAAAATGTCTTAAAATATTTATCGGACATTGTACATTTCATAATGTGTGATATATATATATATATATATATATTGTGATGTATTGTCAACCATTATAAATTTTAACTGGTATTTCTTTCATAACAACTTTTGTTGCATTTCATCGAAACTACATCGACCTTCATTCTTCACTTCTTGACTAGGATTTCTTTCATTTTAATATCACTAGATTTTCATCGCAACTACTCATATTGTCGTTAAAAATGTTACTTTATTTGATTTAAACTCAACTAAAATTGATACAGAAGCAATACTACTTGAAAATTAAAAATGGTTGACAATGTTTCATTTAAGAAAAATAATAATAACAAGAACTGGTTTTAACACGTATAAATTTCACGGTTTTTCTTATTTTAGTATTCTGATGAATTTTAATTCTTAATTTAATGATTGAAGAATCTCATGGCGAATTCTACGACAATAAAATATCCGTAGCAATTGCCTATCACATCGATAAATATTTGACCTTAACAACTTTAAAAAACATTGAAATAACAATCATAAATATGAATGCTAGTCGTTATTTTAAGAATTAAGGGGGTACAAATAAAAAGATTTGAAATTGATAACTTTTTCCATTTCACGGAAACAGTCGTTAAACACTTCTATCTTCCATTCTTTCTTTATATCTTTCATTTTCTCATTGAAACCAAGTAGCGTCTTTCCCCCTCTATCCATGCGATCAAATCGGAGTAGTCCATTATTAATGAGGTATTGACACGAGTCATTAAACGCTTATATCTTCTCTTCTTTTTTTTATTTCTTTGATTGGGAAGCAAGAAGCCGGAAGTGAGTTCCACAAGCGAGAAGTGCGATAGAAGAAATTTTTAGCAGAGAACTTACAGTTACATCTAGCCATTTCAACTGTAAAAGGATGAGACCTTCCCGCCAATCTAGTACTGCGCTTAAATTCATAAAGTCTAGGTAGCAAATAAAGTCTAGGTACTAGCTAGAGGAAGCTGGAGCCATGCTTTTGTTCAAGGGCAAAAATTAAACGAAACAGAATCGTTCGAAATATGAACTCGGATCGCCGATTTCATTTTCCGTGCCAACAACAAATAAACAACCCGCACGTCCCTAGACGCAGCTTTCAAATAAAACAATATGAAGCCTAAAAACAAACAAACAAACAAACAACGTTTCCATGGCAACGATGATGTATAGTTATCATTTTAAAAATTCTATTTCCATGGAATGAATCTTCCAATCGTCCTCCATGTTTGAAGTTTTTAAATTGCTGACGGGATCGTTTTTATTCGAGGCAGAAACATCCCGAACCTTCTCTGACCAGTGGGAAGCGAGGTGGGTCGTCTGTGTGCGATGAAGACATCATACCTTATAGGAACTGATATGTTGTAGGCATTCCATTCATTGAAAGGGCGGGAATTATTTAATTCCTGCTTTCAATGCAATATGAAAATCCGACTTGACTAATTTGTCTGTGTGTTTTGGTGGTGGTGGGTGGGGGAAGGGTTGATCTAGAAAAGGATAGAACAAAAGCGGGAGAAAAAGACTATCAAGAAGCGGGGGTGGGGAGAAAGATCAGTAGAAGGAAGAAGAGGGTGAGATATAAGATGAGCAAACGAAAGAAAGAAAGGAAGAAAAAAGAAAGAAAAAAAGGCAAAAACGTAAAAATAAAGAGAAAAGGAAGAAGAGAGTGAGATATAAGACGAGCAAAAGAAAGAGAGAAAGAAAGAAAGAGAGAAAGAAAGAAAGAGAGAAAGAAAGGGAAAAACGTAAAAATAAAGAGAAAAGGAAGAAGAGAGTGAGATATAAGACGAACAAAAGAAAGAAAGAAAAGAAAGAATGAAAGAAAGAAAAAAGGCAAAAACGTAAAAATAAAGAGAAAAGGTAGGAGAGAATGTGATATAAGACGAGCAAATGAAAGAAAGAAAGAAAGAAAGAAAGAAAAAAGGCAAAAACGTAAAAATAAAGGGAAAAGAAGAAGAGGGTGAGATATAAGACGATTAAAAGAAAGAAGAAAAGAAAGAAAGGGAAAAGCGTAAAAATAAAGAGAAAAGGAAGGAGAGAGTGAGACATAAGACGAGCAAAAGAAAGAAAGAAAGGCAAAAACGTAAAAATAAAGAGAATAGGAAGAAGAAGGTGAGATATAAGACGACCAAAAGAAAGAAATGGAAAAACGTAAAAATAAAGAGAAAAGGAAGAAAAGAGTGAGATATAAGACGAGCATAAAAAGAAAGAAAGAAAGAAAGGGAAAACGTAAAAATAAAGAGAAAAGATAGGAGAGAATGAGACATAAGACGAGTAAAAGAAAGAAAAAAAGAAGAAAGGGAAAAACGTAAAAATAATAATAATTATTATTAGAATTCGCGGATACATGTAATCCCACTAAAAGTGGTTATAAGTACCTATTTTGATTGTTAAAAATCCATATGCCATAAACTTTCATCCTAAAGACTTTGGAAACATTTCAGACCCTTTTAAAAACATTTTTGAAAAATAGTATTGGTGACCATACACTTAGCGTAAATTTTCTTTCATACGTACAATGACCGTTTTTAATTACGCATCAATACAACCATTGAACACACTGTATAAAATATGTGTAACAAGACAAAATCTAAAGTTTAAAACCTTTTTCTAAAAAACAGAACAGTGATGATGCCCCCAGATTTAGCATACGCCACTTTTAAGACCCCTAGCTGTAGCACGTAACAAAGAACAAAGCGCAAGCACTACGCATGTTTTTGCGTTTGTTTTTTTTGCAAAGATGTACAATTCCGCCAGTTTTTACCATAAAATAGACTGTTATATGTTTTAAGTCACTTAGATAACAGGAAATAATACAAGAATATTTTAAATATGTTCTATGGGAAAGATACGCGAATCGATAAAGTTCTCAGCGAATATTTTATACACATGTTCTTCAGAAAACACGCGAATATTCGGGGTTTCCACGAATAACAAGTACATATGTTCTAAAAAGAAAAATCCGAGAACGTGTGAAGACGCAAATAGACGGGGTTTAAGTCAGTTATGCGCTTAGGCGATCATGTATCTTTCGATACATAACTGACGAGGCAGATTTTTTCCTGCAGTAGGTTGCCATTTCTTTCTGCGGTAGACCAATTACCATCCAAGGCTATATAACACGTTCTGTGCAGCTATTTACCAATAGCATTGGGAGGGGGAGAAGAGGATTCATACCTTTCTCAAAGGTATTAGCACGTAAATGAATGTAATGGATTCGACTGGAATTCGAACTCGGCTCTACGAGATTTTTGCCAGTTGCCATCCAAGGCTATAGAACACGGTATATCCTGCTATTTACCCAAGACTGGGGGTGGGGTGAGAAGAATAGGAATCATAACTTTCCCAAGGGTATTAACACATAAGTGAATGTTATGGATTCGACTGGAATTCGAACTCTGCTCTCCGATTCCTCAGTATGAACCGTTATCTATTACTCCACCATGTTCACTGTAAAGGTCAATGACAGGATAGAATGAAGGCAAAAAGTAAGAGAAAAATGAAAGAAAAATTTACAAAGAAAGAAATCCATTGTGATGGAAGTGCGGTGGTAGAGTAAAGAATAAAAAAAATAGGATGAAAAAAGAATAAGAAAAGGTTGTAAAAAAGAAAAAGGAATAACTGGAGAAAGAAAGAAGAAAGAAAGAAAGAAAGAACGGAAAAAGAAAGGCAAGAAAAGAAAGAAAACCGGAAACGATGTAAAGGAAAGATGAAAAAAAAAAAAATGTGCATTCTGATTTTTCTCTCTTTTTCTCTTTATTCCTTACTTTCTCGTTTTCTTTCTTTCATTCTTTATTTCTCCCTTTTCCTTCTTTCTTTCTGTTTTTCTTTCTTTTCTTCTGTTTGTGTTTGTGAAAAGGAAAAAAACACAGAAAACAACGAAAGACAGAAAGAAAGAAGGAAAAAGAAAGAAAACGAGAAAGTAAGAAATAAAAAGAGAAAGAAAGAGAGAAAAATCAGAATGCAAACGTATAGATTGGCTAACATAAAAAATAGACAACGAAAAATGCAAAGAAAAAGAAAAACAGAAGAAAACAACGAAAGAAAGAAATACAGAAAAAAGAAGGAAAAAGACAAGGAAAGAAAGAGGGAAAGAAAAATAGAAAGAGTTGGGTCAGTTGGGCACCGTCTTTGAGAAAAAGAGCACCATGACGTAATTCACTCCGCCAGAAATTTGGAAACAGCATACTTTACTGCTTGACATTCGCCAAAAACTTTAATACATTCAGAGCGCTTTGGTGTTTAACCTGTCGACATTATAGAGGATTCAGAAAGAGTAGAATGATATATCCAGTCAACATCATGTTTTTGGAGTGATCACTAGTGAGGATGACGTTATGCCTCCATTCATCATCCTACAGGGCCTCAGAATCAACACGGAGGCCTATATCAAGTGCCTTGAGGAGGTAGTGCTGCCCCGGGTTAAAAGTGTGGTGGATGGAAGACCTTATCTCTCTGCACCATGCCATATAAGCAGGATACCCCAGTCGTGGCTGTCCGACAATTTCTGCGGCCACATCACTGCTTACATCCGGCCACCGGGGTGACCATTGTTGAAGCCAATGACGGTTTTATTGAATAAATTTAGTCTTTCGTATTTCAAGCTATTTTGTGTAATTTTGGTAAATATATCTGTTAAAATGAGATGTCAGTGTTATTCTCATTTTTGCGTAATTTAGTTTATCCATCGTACTCTCTCTCTCTCTCTCTTTTTTTGTGTGTGTGTCTAATCATTTCACAAACATATATATGCAACTACAGATTAATTTGGAGTAGTATCTTCTATTTCCTGCAGATGTTCCACTCACGTAGCCTTGTGCCAGAACTAAGCTAATCGTTCGAAATAAATATTGATGTCTGTGGGTATTGGAACTGATATGCCTTGATTAATATTTTAAAAATTATGTAAACAATTCATTAATAGGTCAGTATACACGATATAGCTATCTCAGTCTGTTCGCATCTATCTATCTATCTATCTATCTATCTATCTATCTATCTATCTATCTATCTATCTATCTATCTATTATGGTTCCTTATCTATCTATCTATCTATCTATCTATCTATATATCTATCTATCTATCTTAGTCTGTTCATACTATCTATCTATCTATCTATCTATCTATCTATCTATCTATCTATCTATTATGGTTCATATCTATCTATCTCATCTATCTATCTATCCATCTATCTATCTTAGTCTGTTCATACTATCTATCTATCTATCCATCTATCTATCTATTCATCTATCTATCTATCTATCCATCTATTATGGTTCCTTATCATCTATCTATCCATCTATCTATCATCCATCTATATATCTATTCATCTATCTTTAGTCTGTTCATACTCATCTATTCATCTATCTATCTATCTATCTATCTATCTATCTATCTATCTATCTATTATGGTTCCTTATCATTCTATCTATCATCTATCTATCTATCTATATATCTATCTATCTTTAGTCTGTTCATACATTCATCTATCTATCTATCTATCTATCATCTATCTATCTATTATGGTTTCATATCTATTCATTCATTCATCTATCTATTCATCTATCTATCTATATATATATCTATATATCATCTATCTATCTTAGTCTGTTCATACTATCTATCTATCTATCTATCTATCTATCTATTCATTCATCTATCTATCTATCTATTATGGTTTTATCTATTCATCTATCTATCTATCTATCTATCTATATATCTATCTATCTTAGTCTGTTCATACTATCTATCTATCTATCTATCTATCTATCTATTCATCTATCTATCTAATTCTGTTCATGTCTGCCTATCTATATACAGCCATTTCCATACACAGATTATAAGCTTTTCCATGCACAGTTTTCTATGTTAGTTTTTATTATGCAAGTGAATGGATTCATATTATCGGTAAAACTTTCGAAATATATTTATGGCATACACCTATTTGATAATAGGTGTATGCCATTAGCAACCTTTATTTCATTCGATTTGCAACGAGTTAGTTTGTTATGCCACGATAACGAATATAAGAGACCCATACTTTGAACACGCTATCCATCACCTTTGGTTGCGCCGCGCGGCGCAAATACATATATCATATATATATATATATATATATATATATATATATGTTAATTTCTTGAAAAATACAAGCCCCCACCATTTATATTATGTTGCGAATAAACATCGAAATATTCGCGAATGAAATGACATAACGTTTGTTAATAAAACTGAGATTGCCGACAAATGGGCTTTTCGGAATTGCTTTTCATCTTCTGCCTCCGTTCTGATGTTAGTTGGTGCCGAAGGCTTCATTGTTTTATATTAAATATTTACGCAGAAGACAGCGATAAATCAAACGGCACGTCCGAATGAAAATTAGTATCGTTTTGTATGCAAGCAGATATCTGCTCGGTGCCGAGGCCAAATACATCAATTATGGTGAATTGTTCAAGTACACACCATAAATCACCATCAGTTTTTCTTTTGACATTGAAAGGGGCCTTTTATACAGGCATAGGCACAGATGCAGATTCCCCGCTCACATACACAACACACAGAGGCACACATGCATACACTGAGCCGCACACAGGCACATGCCCCCCCCACCTCAACTATCAATATGCCTATCTACATATATTATTCGCTCTATGGGAATTACTGACAATGTTTTTACAAATATATTTTCAACAATTTAATTTTGTTTATACAAATAAATCATTATCTATCTATCAATCTATCTATCTATGTCAGTCTATCTCTCTCTCTCTCTCTCTCTCTATATATATATATATATATATATATATATATATATATATATATATATATATATATATATATACCAGGCTTCTCATATCTATATATCTATCTATCTCAGGCTGAAGCTTACGGCCACGTCATATTAGAATGCCATTTCCCCCGCGATCACCGAAGTTAAGCAAAGTCAACCCTGGTCAGTACCTAGATGTAACTATTTCCCGTTGGGTTCTATCTATCTATCTATCTATCTATCTATCTATCTATCTATCTAATCTATCTGTCATCCTAATGTCTGTAATGTCTGTCTATTCATTCTCTCTCTCTCTCTCTCTCTCTCTCTATCTATCTATCTCAGATTTTCCATTTCTGAATTTTTCTTTTCTGTCTGTCTGTCTGTCTTTTCTGATGATATATATATATATATATATATATATATATATATATGTATATATATATACTTTCTTTCTTCTTTCTTTCTTATAATAATATATATAGTAAACTAATAGTGGGTAAATTAAAAACAAAGTGAAAAAACCTCCAAAGTAATGTGTTTCACCCCTAGTAGTAATTTCTTCAGGCTGATTATGCTTTAATTGATGTAATCAGTCTCTCTCTCTCTCTCTCTTTCTCTCTCTCACACACACACACACACACACACACACACACACACACACACACACACACACACGCACACACCACACACAGAGGTTACGCTGGTTAAATTGTCACCATTTTTATATTTTTAATGCGCCTTGTTTGTCAATGATTTTGTCGACTGCACCGTATAGTGGGATCAGTTGGGCACCGTCTGTGACAAAAAAGAGCACCATGACGCAATTCACTCCACCAGAAATTTGGAAACGTCATGCTCTACTGCTTGACATTCGCGCTGGAAGCTCCAATTTAGACATTTCAGAGTTTGGATGTCAATCTGAGGACAGTGCAGAGGATTCGAAATAAGTTGGAGGAGTCTAATGGCAATCATGAAGGTCTTTGGAGTGGTCACTAGTGATGACGACATTATGCCACCATTCATCTTTCCACAGGGACTCAGACTCAACACGAAGGCCTATATCAAGTGCTTTAAGGAGGTAGTGTTGCCCTGGGTCAAGAGGGTGGCTGCTGGAAGACCCTATGTCTGGCGACAGGACTCTGCACCATGCCACACAAGCAGCAGAACCCAGTCGTGGCTGTCAGACAATTTCTGCGGCAGCATCATCCTTTACATCTGGACACATAATTTCCCAGATTGCAACCCCCCTTGATTATTATCTGTGGGGCGCAGCTGAGCGAGAGACTAACAAAATTCTTTGTAATACCAAAGATGAACTAAAGGCAAGGATTATGGCAGCATTGGGCACCTTAAACAAGGAGACCATCCAGAGGAGATGCAGGAGATTCCGAAGTCAATAGGCGATTTTATTGAATAAATTTACTCTTTAGTATTTCAAGACATTTTTGTGTAATTTTGGTAAATATATCTGGCAAAATGAGATACCAATATTATTTTAATTTTTGCGTACTTTTGACGACAATTTATCCATCGCACCCTGTACATATATATATATATATAGCATACCTTAAAACTATATTTCTTCATATATATATATATATATATATATATATATATATATATATATATATATATAATTATTTATTCGAAAATCATAACATAAATATGTTCTAAAATCACTACAAAAATAGCCATTTTGTTTCAACACTTCTGGTGTCTTATCAAGTGATGATGTTGAATGTAGAATAAACGGTTTTAAAAGGTTCAAATCAATCAAACATCCCTCGCTAGGGGAAACGCTGTTACATAAGATGGAATGACCAATCAAAATGCAAGTATATGAGAATTCAAAAAACTTCACAACGGACTAAGGTTATAGTAATTATTTAATGCTTTAATGTTGGGGTTAGACTAAAAAAAGAATTAATTCTAACTAATAAATATTAAATTATACTATAAAATTTAAAATTAAAAATTAAAAATTAGCGATTTTTAATTTTAAATTTAATGTATATTAAGTTTAAAATTATAAAATTATTTAAAGAAGAAACTGAAGAAAAACATACATATGTTTTTCTATTTCTTTTGTTTTTATTGAAATTAAGTTGGAATAAACGTTAAGATCTAATGCTGTTCTGAACTCCGTAACAACTTAGAAAATTTTTTATAGTATATATATATATATATATATATATATATATACACCTAGTGAGCCAGACAAACCTACCCAGGTTTTCACCTAAACGGATCGTCAGGTTTGTCTGGCTCACTAGGTGTATCTAGGTCTGTTTCTACGGTTGTATTGAGCTCTTTTTTGTTAGTTGTTACTCGTATCGGGGTTTTTCTTTGGGCTTCAGACCTGCATCTGTGCGATTTTTTTGTCGGCAGAAGTCCATGTTTGTAGCTCTTTTTTTTTTTAAAACCTTTTTTTCCTTCGAGATTGATTTGATTAGCAAATCAAAAATTCGAGGGCTTTTCGAAACGAGTCTAGTTATCTATCTATCTATCTATCTATCTATCTATATATATATATATATATATATATTGCACTCTCCCATCGTTTTTTTTTTCCACGAATGTGGGTCAAGCAACTCAGTTCCTAGGAACCAACAGATAGACATCCACACATATGATTTGATTATGGTGGTGACGTCTTCGTGCAGAACCAATCACACATTTTTTAAAGAGCCGAATACAAAGTCCTGGTGCACTACGTATATATATATATATTTGATTAAAGAGAACAGACATGCCTTCTGTTTATTTTTTATTGCATTTTTCCAGTTTTCGAACAGTGTTGTGTATTTGGATCAAAATTATGGATAAACTGTGAAGAGTTCATATTGTGTTATTGTTTTGTTGAAGTACTTTGGAACATCTTATTTTCAAGAATAAATGTGATGGCTGTGTAGCAGACAGAATTCTTTCGTCTGCATCCTGGCATTTTTTGTAAAGCTGAACGTTCGAAATAGTGTGTGGGGATGTCTTGTGTATTGGTAATACGGAGGAGGTGAACCGAAAACAACGTGATTTATATCTATCTATCTATCTATCTATCTATCTATCTATCTATCTATCTATCTATCTATCTATATATGAAGAAATATAGTTTTAAGTTATGCTATATTTATGTGATGAAGTCCTCAATATCAGAGATAGACTGTATGTAAATATCAAAGTGAACATTGAAGTCAACACTTAGAGACGACAGATTGTTTCATGCTAACCGCAGTCATCAGGCCTGATCATTGCGTTTACCATGAAACAGTCTGTCGCCTCTGAGTGTTGTCTTCAATGTTGACTTATCTATCTATCTATCTATCTCAAATATTAAAACGGATCCACAAAAAGAGCTCAATGTATTTATTATTACGGAGCAAATAATTCGTACGCATTTAAATCCAAAATTACCTCATATGAGGAATAGGCCTATTTGAACTGACAAAAAATTCGTCTATCTTATTCAATCTCAGTATAGACTGACTTCTTCTCGGAATTAGAAATGAAAAAAAAAAAACAAAACAAAAAAAAAACGTCGAAAAACTAATACAGAATTCCTGCATTTCAATGTTTCAGTCAGACGAAAGGCACGGGACAGGGTTCAGGGGAGACTGGAATATATTAGCCTTAAAAGGAAGAAGTTTTATAAAATTAAACCCGGATATTAACCTTATGACATTAAATTGGGGTTTATGAAAAATGAAATGTTAATTTGAAACTAAGAGAGAAACATTATTTTTTTCTTAAAAAAAAAAAAAATTAAATTATATAAGGTTATGTTTAAACATATAAAATCATATTAAAATACTCTCCCAAAGACAAGTTATATATTTAAAAGTGATAAAAAGAAAGAGAGTTCTTAGAACAGCAAATAATTATAAGATATAAATGATACGGTGTTTGGTTTGGTTTGATTTGTTTTATTTTACGGTATATCGACCTCAATGCGTTATTTAATGCCAACAAGATTTTTATTGCTGGTAATGTTTTTCTTCAAAAATTTATTTCTAGGAATATTTTTCCTTGAAGAAATCTATAGCTGGTCATATTTTTCCAAAGAATGTATAGCTTGTATATAGTTTGTATTGCTGGTATTTTTTTTTTTTAAAGTATTGCTGATAATAATTTTTCATTCAAAAATTAGTGCTGGTAATAATTTTTTTTTATTACTAAGTACTTTTTTATTACAAAGTACTTCTGGTATTAAAACCTATTTTTACAGGTTTGGGTGTTAACTATTTGCCCATAGCTGGGACCCTAACAGGTGCTGCCACCCCGGGTCAGGGTGGACGTGGAAACACCAGCAATTAAGAGGTGGTTCCATGCTCCTCAAAAACTCCTGATCAGAGGCCTTGCTGCTGAATGTAGTTTATCGTCTTACCCAGGACGCGGATGTAGTTTATCGTCATACCCAGGACGGAAATAATATGGTGTGAAAATGGAAATATTGAAATTAGAATTAGTCAGACATTCAACATTTGAAGAATTAGAGAAATATAGCAGCTAATAACATAATAATAACACACACACACATAATTATATATATATATATATATATATATATATATATATATATATATATATATATATATATATGGTGGAATCTCCTATCGTGAATGTTAAAGGAGGGTCAGCATTGGATGGTGCCTTTCATTTTACAATTAGGCATTTCAAAGAAACGTTATATTTAAAAATAAGATATATTTAAATAAGTTATATTTTTAAAAAAAGTCATATTTAAATAATTTATATTAAAAATAAGTAAAATTAAAATAACTTATATATAAAATATAAAATCAATAGTTTATATTAAAGAATAAAAAATATATTTAGAAATAAAAATATAATAGGATAAAATAAATTATACATTTAAAAATAAAAACAGAAATATAATGAAATAAATAAAATAAAAATTCTTCGAAGATAAGTTACATCTAAAAAAAAAGTTATATTTAAAAATAAAAAGTTATGCTTAAAAATACAAAGTTATATTAAAAAAAATAACCCTAAAATATATAGATAAAGAGATGTAAATGATAAAAGGAAAGAGAGTTCTTAGAACAGAGGATAATTATAAGATATAATTAAATAAGAATTTGTGAAATATAGTAGCTAATAAAGTAAAACACACACACACACACACATATATATATATATAAATATAAAAGTGAACATTGGTGAACATTCAAAGGCAACAGGCTGTTTCATGCTTTATATTTACATACGCTCTATCTCTGATATCGAGCACTTTATCCCATAAATATAGCACACCATAAAACTATATTTCTTCATATATATATATATATATATATATATATATATATATATATATATATATATAAATATATAAATTGTGGGTGGGATGAAAAACAAATTCAGCAAATATATAAAAGACTCCATTATTAAAACAATTATTAATCTGAAGAAGTTTCTTACAGGGACGAAACGCATTACTTTGGAAAATTTTACATAAGTGTCTCGCATCTATCAGTCTGAATCAAAAGTCAATTTGGATAAGCGACGTTATATCTGTATTACCGTCTGACTAACACCGACAGAAATACGTGTTGACAGCTTTAGACTGAATTGTTTTCGTCTGTGTGATCGACAATAGTAAAAATCAATGTTTTATTTTTTGTTAACTAATTATTGTTCTCTTATTTTTTTTATTGTCGATCAAGGTTTTTTTTTTTTTAAATAGAAACAATCATTATTTTTTTAAAAGTTAATTTTGGAATCCATTTTGTCGCATGAAAGACTATGACGAAAGTCAGAAACTTCAAATTGCTGTTTTTTTATCTCAATAAAATATTTTTTTGTGAAAATGACAACAAAAAATTAAATTTAAACAATTTACGGAACTGTTGTGTAGTGTTACCTATTGACGGTAATTTGTATGTACTCAAATGTCTCGTGGGTAATAGTCTTAGCTATTTATAATCTGTGACTTCGTATATAAATAAGTCACCTCATCTCTCTGTCTCAAAGAGGTTTTATCCCCTTAATTTCTCTGGTACTACTACTGGGAGCTTTTTCACTTCACTATCTTCCTCCCTCTCCCTAAGAGATTGTCTAGATATGGGAGATGTTGATCTTTTTCTTTTTTTTAATGGGAGTGTTTTATGGGAGGCACGGTGAACTCATGGTTAGTTTGGCCGAGATCGAATTCCATTTGAATCCATTAGATTCACTTGCTCATACCCTTGGGAATGGTATGCATCCTATTCTTCTTCCCCAGCTATGGACAAATAGCAGGACAGAACGGATTCTATAGCCTTGTATGACAGAAAGAAATGACAACCTACTGCAGGAAAAAATCTGCCTCGTCATACTGACAGTACCTTCAACGACTGTTGTATTAAATTATCCAATTAATTCTTGTTTCTGGACAAATTCAACACACTGTTCTAGTGGCAACTTTGCCAGTTGTAAATGCATTAGAGTCATTTGCCAATACTCTTCCTTTTGAAAACCGTTTACCAATTAACATTTGGATCAAATCTTCGATTGACTGGTTTTCCAGTTTCTCTTAATTCACAATATTTAGCGGCCTGTTTGAAACGAAGAACCTATTCAATAATTGGTTCATTCATCTTTTGAGAAATATTCATAACCTTAGTTATCTTTGCATTCACTAGTTTTTTTTTTCTTGGGTGTTATGTCTTTCGCTGTTTGTTGACTTATATTGTCAAACATCATTTCATCCAACTGTCTTGGGTGTGCAGTTGCTGACAACTTTATAATGGCCTCACAACAAGCAGTTGTCAAGAAGGGATCAGTTATTTGGTTATCTCTCCCAACGGATTTCAAATCCTTCATTTTTTTCTTCTAGATTTAGCTGCACATATTCTAAGCTACTCTTGTGCATATTCATAATTAACCAGTGATAATTGTTCATTCAGTTCTTTATATATCAGTGATGCCATTGTAGTGTAGTGTTACGGACTCACTGAAAGTAGTATGTACTCAACTGCCTCATGTAGCTACTTATAGTTATTGTCATTTCATATGTAAATGTGTCACCACATCTCCCTGTACTGAAAAGGCTTTATCACCCTTATTTTGCCTGGTCTTTCTACTGGGAGCTTTTGTTTCCTCACTATCTTCCTCCTTCTCCCTAAGAGATTGTCTGGATATAGGAGATCTTAATCTTCGTTTTTCATAGGAATGTTCCTTCAGTGATTGTCATGGTTCATCTTCAAGGTCTATCTTATTCTCAAATTCACTGTCTAGTGGCCTGTTTTAAACGAAATATAACTGGTTCAACTTATTGGGAAATATTCATATATATATATATATATATATATATATATATATAATTCCGGTATTCTCACGTTTGATCGAATCAGTTTCAACTCACGTCATATCTATCTATCTATCTATCTATCTATCTATCTATCTATCTATCTATATATATATATATATAACACCTGTGATATATATATATATATATATATATATATATATATATATATATATATATATATATATATATATAACATGTGATATATATATATATATATATATATATATATATATATATGGGGGATAGCGGCTCGGATTGAGGAATCAGAGAGCTGAGTTCGAATTCCAGTCGTATCCACTGCATTCACTTACATGAACCTTGGGAAAGGTATTAATCCTCTTTTTCTCCCTCCAGCTAAATAGCGGGACAGACTGAGTTCTTTAGCCTTGGATGGCAACTGGTCTAGGAGAAAGACAACTTCTAACCTTCGAGGAGAAATCTGCGGAGGGATGTTTGGCACGTAGAATTCGGACCTTCAACAAGTGTGGTTTGTTCTTCAATATAGATTAATATATATAAATTTTTTTTATAGATTAATATATATGTTATGGTCCGGTTCCTTGTACCACGGTGATAGTCCAAGGTAGAACCAATAAAGAAAAACTCGAACACGTATATGGAATAACACAGATATATTACAAAGAGGAATATATACAGAGAAGTAGAAAGTGTTAGTATGAACAATCAGGTTTAGTAGTAATTGTCTGAACGCGACTATGTTTCGAACTGCCTCTGACTCGACTGACTGATTCGCTCTGACTGACTGACAGACTCCTGAAGAACCTCACTCCAGACTGAACTCCAGACTTCAGACTGAACTCCCTGCTTCCTCTTGAGGCGCAGTATTTATTACGTATGGAATAGTCCATTATGTTATTATGGGTAAAGTCCCATAACAATATATATTTTTTATCGATTAATATATATATGTATATATATTTTACTACGTTAGGAAAACATCGATTAAAATTAAAATAGATAAATATATAAGATAAGAAATAATAATAAAAAATAAAATTAAATAAAACACGCAAAATAATTTAACCCAAATAAATAAAAAAATAAATAAATAAATAAACAAAAAACCGACTTCCGTTAAAATAACCACCAAAACAGACTAGCCACAATGCACCACTAACCCGTACATATAAATATCCGAGAAAAAAACAACACTCGTGGCCTGACGATTGCGTCTACCATGAAACAGCCTGTCGCCTCAAGTGTTGCTTTCGATGTTCACTTTTTATATATATATATATATATATATATATATATATATATATATATATAGTGTAACCCGGATATAAGAGAGTTGTCGGGACCGGAGAAGAAGTCTCTTATATCCGTGTTTTTTATATCCGGGTTTAGTCTATTTTATATACATTAACACAGGCTCTAATTTTGGACCAGAGAAAAAATCTCTCTTATATCCGGGTTTCTCTTATATCCAGGTTACACTGTATATATATACACACACACACACACACACACAGACATATATATATATATATATATATATATATATATATATATATATATATATATATATATATATATATTATTCAATTTGTGTTATCGTTAGAATTATTCTGAGAAATTTAGCAATATTGTCGACATGGAAAGCAAAAACAATGTCGTAGTAAAAGAAAGTTACCAGTATCGAGAAAAAGGCTTACAAAGGGGCTCCATTTTTTTAAAAATTAGATTTCATGTATTTAAATATTTCACTTAATTCTTCATCACTTTTTTCACCATTTTTCAATTTTCTTTCATATCCAATTTGTTTTCTCTTCATAATTATTCTGAGAAAATATATATATATATATATATATATATATATATATATATATATATATATATATATATATTTATAATGAAATGGACTAAGTCTGACGATGATTTTAATATATTTTTGTTTTTACGTTTTTTTTTATAGATACTAATATTTAAGTAAATGTTCTATTTATAATAAACAGTATTAACGACAGTATTAATGTCCGAGAAAACTCAAGGATATTGTTAATACTGTTTATTATAAACAGAGCATTTACTTAAATATTTGTATCTATAAAAATAACGGATAAAATATGAAAATAATTGTCGGTCTTAGTCCATTTCATAATATATTATGTCATTTGTTTACGTTAAGCTTATCGTTCGAGAGAAATCATTGGAAATTTGTAAAAAGCAGTGATTTAACCTTGCTAACCAGATGCTTCCTCTGTAGCTAAATGGTATGGCACCTCAGGCTATAGCGCGGTTCCGTGTAGGGTACAGGTTCGATTCCTGTAGGGGGACACGTAAGTACGTTCATGAGATCGCTACAAAGAGCATAGCATGTCGAAAAATACGCCAAAATTGATGAAAACAAAACTTTATCGTGTAAATGTTTATTTTATTATTAAGAGGAAAGATCAAAGTATTTTTGAGGTATTTTGTTTACATTTTTAATCGTTCCTAGCACGTCCAAAATTTTCGTTAAATATCTTGTTTTTTGAGTCAGAAAAATTGACAGATAATCAATCATGTCAACCATTTTTTTTCCATTTTATAAAAAAATGAAAATCACAGTTTGACATTCTTTTAAAAATCAATTATAATTTTTTCAAAACTTATTTTAAGAAAATTAGAAATTATAGTGTTTATCTAAAATATTTTGAAATAAGCTTAACTTAATTTCTGCGCCGAAAAGAGGTAGTTTTAAAATAAATGAAAGCAGGTCATAATATTTCGCGCCACTTGACAGGTGATGAAAGACATATTGATAGCTTACGTGAGGATAATTCCTTCTACGGAAGGAGAGAAGTGAAATTATTTAGATTTAAGTAAACAAATTATTTACCTCGTTATTTTTAAGGAAAACTTTCAGCGCTCTATTTTTTTTTGTACTTAGCTTTCACCTTTACGTTTACGATGCTTTATGGAAAATATATTATAAAGAAATTAAAATAAGACTGTTGATAGTGAGATTAAATTTCATAAGAAAGGTATCTAATTAATTTATAGGTACCTTTCTTATTACATTTTATCGGAAGTGTACATACAATACAAATTTAAATTTCATAAGATGATACTGATAATTGTAGGTACCCTTCTCAGTTGAAATTGAAAAATCAAATTAACTTCTCCACACTTCTTTACGAAATTGAATGCGGCTTTTAACTAATTTTATATTTTAACAACTTAAATGTAAAAATCTATGTTAATTATAGAAATAACAAATAATTGTATTAAAAATTCAGTATTTAAGTTAAATACTAGACAGAAACTCAATCCACGTGACGATTTTATTTTTGATTGCACACATGATACTTCCGGTCTTCCGTAGATTTCATTTCTAGTCTTATTATTGACACAAATTATATTTTTTTATATACTGGTGTTACATAAATGTTTCTATAAAAATAACATATAACCATTTATATATATATATATATATATATATATATATATATATATATATATATATATATGTATGTATGTATGTATGTATGTATGTATGTGTGTCTGTGTGGGTGATAATTGAAAAAAAGATTAATTAAATTCGACAGAATAATTAAGTAAGAAACAATTAAAAAAACGTTTATGAATTTAACATGTTTCACTTTAATTATGGCTTAATCGCAATTTCAGAATTAAGAGGCACATTAGAGAATATTTCGAATTCTATGTTGACCCTTTTCATTGGTTGGTTGGCACTCACGTGTTTATATTTTTTGGCATTGTTGTGTGCGTGTGTTTTTATGTTTCTGAATTCCACTAGGAATATCTGTGTTTCTCTTTTCTGTATCTGACTCTGTGTGTCTCTGTGTGTTTCTAATTTCTGTCGATGGTCGTTGGAAAAAATGGGAAAATATATGTGTGCACCAAATTTCTAGTTGGGCGTGCGATGGCACCAGATAGAATCATTATTAAAATATGTTATAAAAGATTGTTATTTAAATATGTTATAGAAAGATTGATTGAATTTATTTATTATTATTATTATTATTATTATTGTACCTGGGAAAATTCGTGGTGTATAAGAATAGGTATATTGGTGTTAATTTGATTGAATTTTATTATTATTATTATTATTATTATTATTATTATTATTATTATCACTATTATTGTTATTATTATTATTGTCCAGGGTGTTTTATTATATGTAATTATTGTGTGTAACGAGACATATTTAGTGTGTATTGGAGAATGTTTTATAAGCGTGTTTATCGTTTGTCCGATGAACAGTGTGGGATTTTGGATGTGAATGCGAAAAATTGGATTACATCGTCTGCAAGTGTCTGGATCTTATATTCATTACATATGGGCCTTACTTATATATATATATATATATATATATATATATATATATATATATATATATATATCCGATGCGATGAGAACGAAAGTAATATATAAATTCCAACATTCACAGAACTAAACAAAAAGAGTGCTCTGAAACCAAATAGTAGGCGATAATTATTTATTTATTATAATTTTATCATATAGACAAAACCATTTCTCACTACAAAAGTGCAACTTGGTTTCAGTGCATTTCAACTGCACTTCGATGGTGAGAATCGAAAATGGATTTGAAATGCACTGAAACCAAGTTGCATCTTTGTAGTGAGTAAAATGGTTTTGTCTATATGATAAAATATATAAATAAATATATCTATATATATATATATATATATATATATATATATATATATAAATATATATATATATATATATCTATCTATCTATCTATCTACATATATATATATATATATATATATATATATATATATATATATATATATATATATATATATATATATTAAGACATTTTTTTATGTTTATACGTTCTGTTTTATATATGAATTTATGTCTGTGTATACGTGTATGCACACACCTAAAGGGGATGCTGAAAAGATGTTTGGCCAGGCCAAGGAAAGATTTATATATATTCCTGTGTGTTTGATCATTTAGGCATATTTAGGGAAGTGACTCGGGACGAACATTTACGTGCGTATATGTATGCATAATTGAAAAAATAAAGCTCTGTATGTTTATATGTGCACGTGTCTGGTTGTGTTTGTGTACATGTGTGTGTGTGTGAATGAGAATGAGAGAGAGAGAGAGAGAGAGAGCAGTATCGA